GTATACCGGAACTAGACAGTGTACCCACCGAATACCGAATGTTATCCGGTATACCGAATACCGAATAGTCGGTATCCGGTATTAATACCGGTATACCGAATACCGGTTATGAGGGCCTTTGCTGGTTTGACTATGAAAAAATTAGAAGAATAACACAGGCATAATCATCTAAGTTATCTAAGTCATCTAATTCACACAATCATCTAAGTCATCTAATTCACACAATCACACATGCTACTTCTCACAAACAATTAGATTCTCACCTGCTAGATGCTACTATGCTGCTGCCTGCTGGTGAAGAGAAGAGAAGAGGGAGGAAGATAGGGGCTCTGCCTCAGGGTCAGGGGTTTTGATCTTAATCATACACTTCTCCTATCATCTTTTTCAGTTCTCACCGTCCTTCCTAACCTTACAACTGGTCTGTGCCTTGTTTGCTTCTCCTTTTCTTTTCTTTCCTTTTTCTTATTTTCTGGATTTCATCATCTACATTCACTTCCGTTTCTCTTCCCATGTACAGATACAAGAATGACTAAAGATTGACAAAGACTATGACTAGCATGGATCTTGCATATGTGGTGTAAAAAAAACCTCCTATACCTCAAACATGGCATGTCTGTTTCAACCTCATCAGTACATCACTACCCTGAGGAGCCCCGACTGGGGTTCGGAGTAGTCGAGGGCCTCCTCTTCAAGCAGATACCGCTGTACAGCAATCGGAAGTCGTGCAGGGGTTCGAGCGCCTCTGGTATGATGCCCTGTTCCAATGCATATATAAAACCTGCACCGCGCGTTTTACTTTTTTTTTTATAATCGGTATTATCGGTATACCGGTATACCGTCGGTAACTACCGACTCTTATCCGGTATTACCGAATGTAAAATCACACGCCCGAATACCGATACGGTATCCGGTATACCGGATACCAGTTTACCGATTACCACTAAGGGTGTTCAAACGGTTTGGTTACCGTGGTAACCGTTTTAACCGGTACTATTTGGATAATTTGGTTTGGTTAATTTGGATAATTGGTTTGGTTTGGTTAAAGTTTTTAGCTTGTTTGATTTAGGTGGTTTGGTTTGGTTTCAGACACTCCTAACCAGTCAAACCAAATTAACCAGTTAATTAATTAATCATATATCTAACATATATTATATACACATACTTAATACTTTGCATAACCACTCAAGAGTTAACATTCATCCCTTTTAGACTCATATAAAATATAAAGCTCAATATTGCTCATATAGTGTATATTTGTATATAGAAATTGTAGACCACAACATATGGACGCCTAATTTAGATAAATTTCATACATTATGATGGATGAAAACTTGAAAGGAAGGTCATTTCCAGCCTATGATAATTGCTAAGAGACTAAGTCAATTTACACAAACACAACAATTCATTAACCCATACCATTGTCATAAATTTTTGTTAGGTGAATACTTCTATACTAATCGTAAGATAATTGTCTTAGTTGCATGTATTTTTGTTAAGGGTCAACTATAACTACGTGTTGATTGTTATGTTTTATTCATTATATAAATTGCGAATTGTTGCATTAACCAGAAAATTTTTATCATCAATGATAATGTGATTTTATATTGGTTAATCTGGTTAACCAATTAACCAAACCGATTAAACTTTAGTTTGGTTAATTTGGTTATTGTATTAGTTTGGACGGTTTGGTTATGATATTGTATTCCATGGTTAATGGAATTTAGCCTTATTTGGTTTGGTTATAACCATGGTAAACATTAGAACACCCCTAATTACCACCCCTACTTTTAGCCATTTAACGCGAGATTTTTGCTTACAATACAACTCTTATGCAACCCATTGCCTATTTAGTTTAGTTTCTAGCTCACCATCCCGCTGCCAATCAACGTCATGTTCGACCCTTACAGACTCAAACTCAGTCGCTAGAATGCAAATATTACTTTGGGAGTTCATTGCACCTGCTCCACTTTAATCATCCTCCAATAATAAATGGTAGAATTTTGTGTACTTTTCTCCATTTCAAATTTCCTGCAACGAGAGTGAAAGTAGGAATGACATTTTTGTCTTTAAAATCAATTATTTGTTTCATATAAAAAATATCAATATCAGAATTTGAATCTGGGTCTCTTCAAACAAAGACAACAATCATAACCAAATACATACACTACATGAATTTGTTGTATCTTTTTTTAATACAAAACATATACGAAGTTAAACTTTGAAAATCGGAGGAATTTTCCATCATAATTAGCAAGCCCACTCAGTCTACCATATGTATTTTTATGGTACTTGTACTTCAACTTCCATAGCAGAGTTTCAAGTAATTTTCTCCATTTTAAAATTTTTGATCTCTCCTTAATTTTCTCTAAAGGTAAATTGGTAATTGGCTAACATGAAAGAAACTATTTCTTTTATTATGTATGGTGTCCTTGGATTTTTCAATTTTAATTTAAAAAAATTTGTTCTTCTTTATCTTTGTTCTTGTCTCTTTCTAAGTTCCTCCAAAATTCCATCCATCGTGCAATAGTTTGCACCCCTTTCACTTCCTAGTACAAAGCCGCCTTTGAAAATCAATCTTCCGATATTTCTTGGTATTACAGTTTTATTGTTGGGATTTAAGCTGGGGCAAGTAGAAGATTTCAACTCCAATATCAATTCATGGCTAATAGAATGTAGTTCAATCAAGTAGTTATGTCTGGCCTTAATTATCTCGCTTGATTCCTCAGCACTGGCATCGCCTAATGGTTATGTTCCTCCTCGATGAACTACCAGAAGAACTATTTTGTTGCTTCTATTGCTTAAAACAATGTTTGATTAGTTATATCTTTAGCATGTACTCTTCTTCCTATACCAAGCACTTACCTTTAATGGGTTTACGATATTTGTCCAAGGTTAATTGCTTCGCATATGTAAGTCATTCATTTCTTATCTATGTCTCATGGTTTTATCTTTCTGATTAATAACAAAATGGCTTTTTTCACGTTGTCTCATGAGCAGAACATGCATAATATTTATTTCTTTTGATCCTATTGCCTTATACGATGTTTGAAGCTTGGTGGATCTCCTGTGACATTGCTCCTCTTTTTGTTCTTAGGTTTCAACTTCGATAAGTTTTCTATCTTCAAAGAAGGTTTATCAAATTGAACTGGTAGGCTATTATTTTCTTCCCAATTTATCTAGATTTGTTGTTTGTGATTGATTTATAAAATATAGTTAAAGGATTTGAATGGTTGTTTAGGTGCTAGATTTGTTTGAAACCAAAGGAGAAGTTTGTGTAAAACAGAGGTAGTTGTACTTTCCTAGCACCTTTTCTAATTTCTTGGTTGGTTGTTTCCTATAATTTATTTTTGTTTTATGCTTAGCTATTGAAATAATAAAATAAGACAATCGGAAAAAGGGTTGGTTTTCAATTACAATATTTCCGCTCATGTTTGATTTTGTCATAGCTAATGTTCTTCACAACCATATTTTTCTCATGAATTTCGATTTTTATGGTCTAGCTCACCGATCAAATTTTGATATTGTTTTAGGATTAGTTATACAATATTGATTTTGTTGATGTTTAAAGTGCCTATTAATCTAATTGCAAGCCATAATGATTGCTAAAATTAAGCTTCCATGCAACACTCTAAGAGTTGGGGGTGTTGAACTTGGAAAGAAGAGTTGAGATTGGGTTTGGGAAGGGAAGGGAAGTGGTGGGAGAATTGGATTTTGAAGCATGTAAAGTTCAACTGCAACAGGTGAAGGCAGAGAAGAGGGAGTTGTTAAGGGTAATGATCAAACTGGCGAGTGTATGGAAAGACATGGAAGCGAAACTTGAACATTTGAAGAGAGAGAGAAGTGAGAGATGATGAGGCTATTAATGAAAATGAAGAGGGTATTTAAGAGCATGGAAGTGGACTGAAGCAGGTGAAGGCAGGCAAGGGGGAGATGAACATATTGATGGAATTGGAGATAAGTGTTGGTTTTAGCGAGCTTATTACAACTTTCTCTGAGGAAGATGAGTTGGCAAAACACGAGAAGAGGTTTGAGGAGTTGATGAGCGAGTTTACAAGAACCCCAATTGGAAGAGAAATTGAGAGCCACAGAGAGAAGGTCCATCAAAGTTGCAGAAGGAGGATTAGAAAGTGATTTTTTTTGTTGCAATATATGCCTCTTGAGATTGAAGATAGAGTGGATAAAAATTTGGTTGAACAACGGAGAGTGGTGGTTATTGGATCTTTAGGTTTATGGGTTTTGCAGCTACAACAATCTATTTCTATCTTAAAACGAGGAATCATTGATTGATTTACTAAAATAGGTCGATTCTTCATTCAAGCTACTGGAACTGATAGATAAGGAGCATATACTTTTTGTGTCTTATTACTTTGATCGAGTCTATTAGTATATTGGAGGTAACATTAATATTGTCATTTGCTCTTAAGTTTTGACGGCCACCTCTTAGTTGAGTTGTTAGTATATAGTTGATTTGAATCAACAACTCTCTGTTTCTTTTTGATTAGTGACATATTATTCTTAAAAGGAGAGCATTGAACTCTTTAATGTAGGATTGTGAGGTTTCAGATTCAGTTTCAAACTATCTATGAGTCATGTGAGAATTCTAGTGAGCATTATAGTCTATCTTCCTTGACAATCAACTAACCAATAATATTTTAACGGGGGCTTAATTATCATTATGAAAATGGGATCAATGATACATTTATATATTTTATATTCTTAAATGATGATGGTATTTCTCCGAATGTTCGACCTATATATTCTTTTTTTTTATGTATCATTTCGATCGAAGGATTGTCAATAAAATTAAATGAGTTAATAAACTTAAACGTAGCATAAAAATATGAATAATCAAATATGAACATTCCTACCTACGGACCGGATAATAAGCTAGTATAAGAGATGCCAGAGATTATGAATCTAATCTTTGTATATCGGAGATCCTACTAATTTTTCCTCCCAAACATATTTTACAAATAATCTCACTTCCTGGTTTTCCACCAACCTAATTCACTTGTTTGTTTTGACTAAAAACTTAAATTTGAAAGAAAAAAAATTTTAGAAACAGGATAAAATAACACACTCGTTGGCTTTTATCTTTCAATTCACCCGGGAGATGGATGGATGATTGTGGATCAAATAAACAAGGCCAATCCAATTTGTATTATCCACAGCCACTTGCCAGAGCCTTACAAGTGCTCTGCCTCTAAGCCGATCAAGGACGAAGAAAGAAAAAGCAACATAACCAGAGCATAACAATGGCGGCTGCTCTTTCTTCCCCCTTAACATCAGCTTCCTCCGTTCTCTTCTCCTCTTCAAACTACCCCTCCCTCCCATCTTTCTCACCTTCTCAACGCCTCAGTTTTTCCCACTCTGCTCTCTCTTCTTCTTACTCCGTCTCTCCTGCCCTCTTCACATTCCCCTCCCCTCGCCTCTCCCCCACCGCCGCCGTTTCCTTCTCCGTCAGGGCTGCCACCGCCGCTGGAGAGAAGAAGAAGGTCCTCATAGTCAACACCAACAGCGGCGGCCATTCAATTATTGGGTTCTACTTCGCCAAAGAGCTTCTGGGTTCCGGCCATAATGTCACCATCCTCACCGTCGGAGAGGAAGGCTCCGATAAGATGAAGAAGCCTCCCTTCAACAGATTCAGTGTAACTATAGAGAAACTAAAAATTCGCGTCGTTTCGGTTTATCTGCTCTTTGATTTCTTCTGAATTTTACTTCCCCTGCCTCTGTTCCACCCCTCGTTTTGAACGGTAGGAAATTGTGAGCGCCGGAGGTCGCACCGTCTGGGGAGACCCGCCGGAAATCGGGAAAGTCCTCGCCGGCGAAACGTTTGATGTTGTGCTCGACAACAATGGCAAGGACCTTGATGCTGTCAGGTTTGACACATTCTGCTTTCGAATTGAAATTCTGTGGTACCCTTGTCCATAGTTTGGGGATTCTAACAGAACAAGAATGAAATGTAGGCCGGTAGCAGACTGGGCGAAAGAGACGGGAGTGAAGCAGTTTCTGTTCATCAGCAGTGCCGGAATTTACCTGCCGACCGAGGAGCCTCCCCATGTTGAAGGCGTAAGAGCCTTTCCTTCTTTCTTGTCACTATTCTATCTGTAACTGGAAGACTAAAATGGTGATACATACGACACAGGATGCCGTGAAAGGCAGTGCTGGCCACGTCGGAGTGGAGAAGTACATGGCCGAGACATTCAGCAACTGGGCTTCCTTCCGGCCGCAGTATATGATCGGCTCTGGCAACAACAAAGACTGCGAGGAATGGTTCTTCGACCGTAAGTAAATAACATGATAACGCTGCGCGTAATGAAAAGATAAAGAGGAACTCACTTGACCTTCATACTCTCACAGGAATTGTACGGAACAGGCCGGTGCCAATCCCGGGATCAGGGATGCAGCTGACCAACATTTCGCACGCCAAGGATCTGTCGTCGATGCTCACGCTGGCTGTGGAGAAGCCGGAAGCAGCGAGTGGGAACATATTCAACAGTGTGAGCGAGAGAGCAGTGACTCTGGATGGAATGGCCAAGCTCTGCGCGAAAGCTGCTGGGCTCCCGGTGGAGATCGTCCATTATGATCCCAAAGCTATCGGGGTCGACGCCAAGAAAGCTTTCCCCTTCAGAAACATGGTACAAAAAAGAAGTGATCGCGCAACAACGAAACCTCTGTTTCTCTCCTATGAGCACGCCAGCGGAATGTGGATATTTAATGTATGTTGTTGTTGTTGTTGTTGCAGCACTTCTATGCTGAGCCACGAGCAGCAAAGGAAATTTTGGGATGGCAGGGAACCACAAACTTGCCTGAGGATCTGAAAGAGCGGTTCGAGGAGTATGTGAAGATTGGCAGAGACAAGAAGACCATGGCGTTTGAGTTGGATGATAAGATCCTGGAAGCCCTCAAAGTTCCTGCAGCTGTGTAGAAGAGCCAACTCCCTACAAGCTGCGACTTTCAGCACTTTACCTATATATACATTCTCTATCTTCTACCCTGAGTTTTGTATGGCATCATTTTGCCTCCTTATCTGAACAAGGCGTGATTTGGCTAGGGGAATCCTGGGGGGGAAAAATATGAAAAGTAACTTCCTTTTGAACTCTGATACTTTCCCGGGGAACCACAGGACAATCCACATTTCCACCAAACAAATGGGTTTCTCCTAGATCCGTCTTTTATTCATAAATCCATCTACTGGTCAAAATTTCATCAAATTGGAAAACTATCAACTAGGATATTCACCACCCAACACACACATTTTTAGCACATTCATGATTCATGTCTGTCTATATCTGCACAAGCAACGGATATGACGGTAATTACAGAAACCTAATAAGCATTGGACAATCCTAGTTTGTAATGGAAATAAGAACACAAAAGCACTACCTTCCTACTAGTTGTTCAGAACCTCAAATTTGAGGGCACATCACAGAGTACATAGAGCCTTGTGAAGACCAGAGACAAAATGTTGGCTGGAGAAACATGGTAGAATGCAACATTACCTAATGAATACTGTAATCTACAAAAAGAATTCCAAGGTGCATACAGGCTGCTAGACTGCTCAAAAGTGCAGATTTCCGCTCCTGGATACAATACATACACGCTTCCATTGAGACCTAAGCTGTAGAAGTTAAAGAAAGCTTCTACATTGAGCTAATGCAGTTGGAGTAGCATACACAAAAAGAGAAGGGGTTCTTCAAAGAAGCTTTTAGAGAAGAGATTACCTGGCCAGACAAGTTTTCTGATAATAAAGTCAATTAACATAAGTCATCCTTGATCTCCAGCTCTTTGAGTCTTGACTCCAGTTCATCATCCTCATCAATATCTTCACTTTCAGGATCATTCTCATCCAAGAGGACAAGCACGTCAGCAAGCTCTTGAATTTTTTCTTCACTTCATCAAGCCCTTCACCGGATATGAAATTGCCATTCAAATTGAGCAACTGGCTTATTCCCAGCAGCTTGTGCCAAGATCCTCCTCCAGCTCTTCTAGTTGCATTTGTGCTCAAATCAACCTCGTTCAACTAGCCATGCCCAGTCTCTATAGCCTTAGAAATCAAGAAAGCGCCCTCATCCTTCAGCTCATTGTCGGCTAGGTGAGAAACTGCTCAGCCAAGGAAGAAGCACAGTTTTGCAGTAATGTCATTGCCGGCCATATCCAGAGCTTGAAGAGAATGTGCAGAGTCTTTCAGCGCATTGGCAATAGCTTCTGCACCCTCGCCCTCCAAGTTTAGATTATTCAGGCAAACCGCAGCAAACCAGGTAAGAGCCAAAAACAGATTTGCTTAGAGCAACTCCAGCATCTACACCAAACATGTTGTCAAGAATTAGTGAAACTGAGCAAGCGTCAATTGATATAAGAGGTTAGTTGCCCGCTTCCAAGAACAACGCCGCCATCTACCCAGCCGCCCGATGCCACCAATCCATAGACGAAGAAATTGGCCAGCAGCTCTTGGAGGTTTTGGATCGACAGCAGGAGAGGATGACGAAGCTAGACGAGCAACAGCGCAAGACCCCAGGAGTGAGACGGAGTTGGTTCGTCTTCGAGCTGACGTCTGACATTAAAAACGACTGATGGAATGGAATGGAGTCGGTAGTCAAGGGGGCTGAGCAGGCGGGAGATGCACGACGAAAGGAGGCGCGCTTGGGAGATTCGCTGAGGCTAGCCTTGCCAGTAACGGGACGGGACTCACGGGAGCGGCTTGGGGAAATCTCACCATCGAGGAAGGCCGATTTTTTCCCTAAATACAAGGTTAATTAAAAGATTGAGTAAAAATAATTTAATAATCAAATCTTTCGTTTTAAACAATATAATAGCCAACCAAACCTTTTCGAAAACAATTTAATATTCAAATCGTTAACTTTCCATCCGGTCAACTGTTAGTTGACTCTGACGTGGCACACTAGCTTCTGAGTTGGTTAGAAAATGATGATGTGGCAAAACAGTCCACTAAAAAAATTATTTTTTTAACCAGAAAAAAAAAAATTACATCACACAACAACCACAAAATTAAATCATGTTATCCTCACATCTCTCCCTTCATCGAACCATCCTTCCCTAACCTCTTCTCCAACTAATTCAGATCGCCGTCCTGCACCAAGTCTGCGTCGGCAGCCAAGGGAGTGGTCGGAGACGATTCAGAATCTCATCTCTCCTTTCTCTTCCTCTAGTCCCACCACCGCCAACGACGACCTCCGCCGTGACTCCGACGATTTGCACGAGGCCAGTGTTGATGGAAGTCGCGACGGTTGACGAAGGGAAGAGCGACTCGGCAACGAAGATCCTATCTCGGGTAGAGTCTAGTGGAGGGAAGGGGAACTCGGAGCAGAGGCTGATGATTACTTGTTTTTGGCGTTGAAATCGACAGTGAATCTGGCGATGAATCCGGCACCTGTGGCGGAGCTGTACGACCAAGAGCACGCGCGTCGACTCAGCTGCTATCCGAGCTCTCTCCTGGTTTCAAGCTCGATGTCATGGTAGCTGATAGACCCAGTTCTTAACCGATAAAATTTTAAAAATATTAAACACCTGCCCTTTCATTAATACACTCGATAAATTGTTAATTATTGCGGTACCCGAAATACCCGAAAATTTGTATTATACCATCAGAATCCTTCATTGTTTTTTTCCTTTAACTACTGTTATTGTTTTTTCCTTTACTCACTTTCTTATTTTTTCCTAAACCTCTTATTTGTACTTTTCCATAACCATTGTTTTTGTTTTATTCTTCCTTCCTTTTCCCTCTCACCCATTTGTTTTGTCCACATGAGAAAGATACAGACACCATTCCTTACTCCTCATTTCCCCAATTTTCCCCTACTTTCTTTCACTTTCACTTTCCTTCCCTTTCTCTCACAAGTGGCAGGCGCCACCTCATCTCCCTCCCTTCCTATTTTTTTCCACACTCCCTCTTACGTAAAATTCCTTCTTCTCCCTACCATTTCCTACATTTTCATGCATGTTCATGCATACACATACATACAATTTCCATCACTACTCTTTCCTTCAATTTCCACTACATATCTATACTTCTCCTACTTTCACATACACCCTTACACTTTCTCAAATACTATACTTGATAAGGAATGTTGGTGTATGACGGAGAATATTGAGGTATAGCAGAGAATATTAACGAGTATAGGAGTATAGCGGAGAATGTTGGTGAATGTTAACGTAAATTGAGGAATTCAACTACTATTTTTTCCTATAAATAGGGAGCACCCCTCCCCCTTTCTAAACAACAAGTCACACACACACCACCACATAAGTCGCTTACGACTACTTCACACAACACAACTCACACATACACTCTCTCTCTACTTTCTCTCTCTAAAAACGTTTTCTCTCTCCTCCCGATCTCCCAAAAACGTGTTAACTCTCTAAACACCCAACACACTCTCAATTTGGCGGACTAAGTCATGGAATCGTGGATAGTCTCCACCGGGCGGCATTAAATAGCCGACGACGCTCAATTACGACCATGGGACCGAACCAGGTCTAACGTCATCGTATTTATTTTATTCCATTCAGGTTACTAATTTGAGTGTCGGAGGAGGTTCCAACCAGGACCCCCCCGGTGGGACCTTTTTTTCAGGTATTCGCACGGAGCTGGAGGTGGTTAAAGGCTTTGGGAAATCAGCGCTCTCCGGACCTTAAACATATTGAAGCAGGCTGCTCTAAGCTTGGCATCAACAATTGGCGCCCACCGTGGGGCCCGGTGAGAAGAATATTTCCAAAGTTTTCACAAACCACCACCCAGCCGTGATGAATACCCAAGGCTCTCCCAGTATTCCTACCATTGAAGCAGTGCGTCGCTCTTTAAGAGTAATCGAGACTGGGGGCAACCCAACCCCCCCGTTCACCACTCAGCGATGCACCGAGTCAAAATACAGAGCCTCGAGTGGTGCCACTTGCACAGACTACTTCTATTCCGACACCAGAAGGAATTCTCAGCCCTACTCCGGCACAAGTACGTGAGATGCAGGCTGAGATTGAGCGACTCAGAGCTCAACTCAGAGCCAGAGAGGCCTCCCATATTAACGCTCCTGGTTCCTCCAGAGTACCGACACCAAACGACCAGGAGAGAGTTGTTTCCCATGGCTCGATCAATGAACCACCAAATGCGACATCAGCACCTGTTGGATTAACCGCTCCGAGTCTCTCAGCCAATCTGCTCGAACCTTCCCCAGGACACGGAGTTGTCACTTCAACCGGAGTAGGAGGACCTCTATCCAGAATCGTGCAGGATGAGCCCTACCCATCAAATCTTCATTTACCAAGCTTGCCAGAGTATTATGGCACCACAGATCCAGAAGACCACCTTTGCTCTTTTCAAATCCTAATGCCATTAATCGGAGCATCTGATGCAACAATGTGCAAAATCTTCCCAGCAACACTCCGTGGAGATGCCCGACGACGGTACTCAAAGTTACAAGATGGTATTATCTCCAGCTTCTTCGAATTTGCCACTCTCTTCAGATGCAAATTCTACGCACAAAAAAAACAACCTATCAGCATCCATCAACTCCTCAGCATCAGGCAGCGTGATGATGAGACACTCAAGGCTTACTATACTCGATATAGTAACATTGCCATCGGACTAACGTCCATCTCCATGGAGATTGCCACTAATGCCCTGATGCGAGGGACTATCAATGCTGATTTATATGCTTCTCTTGCAAAACGGGCTCCCCACAGCACTATGGAGCTTCAAGAGCGAGTTTCAAAATATATTGATCTAGAAGAAGCACTTCAGGAGGTTAGTCGGGCAGGATCCAAAAGAAAACAAGAGACTTCATCCCAAGATTCCCGCCGACAACGTCAAGCTCCTGCAGCCGAGGGCCGAAACTCTTCCCAAAGTTCCAGAAGGGAAGCTACCCAGTTACAACAAAGCTATACTCCTCTCAATCGCTCTAGACAAGCCATTCTTCAGGTCATTCGAGAGAAGAAAATTCCCATTACTCAACCTCCTCCAGTTATGAGGGTTTCAGGAAAGGGCCAACAATTCTACTGCGAATTTCACCGATGTACGGGACATGATACAGAAAGCTGTTACACCCTCAAGCACTCTATTGAAGGACTTATCCAACGAGGCTATCTTCGAGACTTTGTAAAGAATGTTCGTCCCCCTATTCCCCCTTCACCTCCAATAATAGACAAAGGAAAAGCACCACAGGGAAGTGGATCGATATTGGGAAATGTTCCTGTCATTCATGGCGGGGTCAAATTATCCGAACAAGTTGGTTCTCGCTCAACCGGTGCCCCAAGGTTGGTCGGTTCCGCTTCTACCACACAAATTCTCATTTCTTTCGACGATAGGGATCTTCAAGATATCGAGTATCCTCATGATGATGCCTTAGTCATTAAGGCAGTAATTGCAAACTATTCTGTGCAACGAGTCCTCATTGATGGAGGAAGCTTTGCAGATCTTTTATTCTACCCAGCTTTCAAGTCCATGGGTCTTCAACTAAACAAATTTCACCCTCCTAGCATTTACCTCGTGGGCTTCTCCGGAAATCAAGTCCCAGTTCTGGGAATTCTCCCACTCCAAGTTCGTATTGGCAATAACCAACAAACCGTGGAGAACACAATCAACTTCCATGTTATTGACTGCCCTTCTGCATACAACTGCATTCTCGGGCGCCCTTTTCTACATCAAGTTCGGGCTATACCCTCAAATTTGCACTTAAAATTGAAGTTCCCAACTATTGTCGGAGTCGGGTGTGTGAAGGGAGATCAAGCTCTTGCACGACAGTGTTGTGAGTTCTCCCTTAAAGATGGCTTTGTGGCCAC